CCATCATTGGAGCACTATTCCTCCCACTGACATCATCAATGGGGTATTATTCCTCCCACTGACATCATCAATGGGGCACTATTCCTCCCACTGACATCATCAATGGGGCATTACTCCTCCCACTCACACCATCAATGGGGCATTATTCCTCCCACTGACATCATCAATGGGGTATTATTCCTCCCACTCAGCCCTTCTGTCCCCCCCCCCAATACTAAGCCCTTCTGCTCCCCCATACTGAGCCCTTCTGCTGACCCCATAATGAGCCCTTCTGCCCCCCCCCCATAATGAGCCCTTCTGCCCCCCCCCATACTGATCACTTCTGCCGCCCCCCCCCCCCCCCCCATACTATACCTTTGGTATTTATTAGTCTTTGATTTATGCATGTTTTCTAATTATTTAAAATCGATTTTATTATTTTATTGAGACTATCAAGAAAATATATGTTTAGCTCTATCAGCTATTTATACTTTTATTCTTGAGAGTAGGTGTGTAAATTGGGGCAGGCTGATAGGGGCCCCAGTGCATTACTTTGCCCAGGGGCCAATGATGCTATTAAGATGGCCTTTGTGTAGCCAAGAGTATGGAACAGGGGTCTCCAAACTGTGTCCTGAGGGTCGGATGTGGCCCTTTGCTACCCTTTATCCCCTGGGACACTATTCCTCACAGTGGGGCAGCACTTCTTCCATTGACACCAATGATGATGTACTATTCTCCCACTAATACCAATGATGGGACACTGCTCCTCCTCTTACAGACCATCAACCCTGAGGCCATGTTTATTCTCGCTGATGCTGGGGACAGGACATTCTCTATCCTCACTGGCCCTAATCTGGCCCTCCTAAAGTCTGTAGGACTAAAGGACACTATACTGGCCCTTTGTTTGAAAGGTATGGAGACCCCTGGTATGGAATGTTTCAGTCCTAGCACTTCGTGCTCCCATCGTAGCGACTTAGCTGTCGGTCTCTGCTAATGATTGCTACCTGGTAGGTCCTGCTCTCGACCATGCAACCACTGTGACAGCCAATCACAGCAGTCACGTGATCGGCAGGGGCGGACTGACCATTTGGAAACTCGGGCACTGCCCGGGGGCCTGGGGTCAGTAGGGGGCCCCATGAGATGCCCCTGGCACCTTTTTCATAGGCTTTTTTGAGTTTGGGCAAGGACACGGGGGCCCCTTGATCCCCTATTGCCCGGGGGCCCCATGAGTTGTCAGTCCGCCCCTGGTGATCGGCCTATCCTTCCTTCCCCCCCTTCAGTGTAAAGGCCTTGTTAATGGAACGCCGGGGCTGGGTAGGAAAGGGGTTAATGCATCCAAAATCATCCGGCACGCAAATTCTGAACTACAGCAAAAAAAAAAAAAAATTCTTAAAGATCGTTGGAGGAAAAATGGAACAGAAAAATCTGATTATCTCCATGTTCTGATACTGAAATCTACAAGTACAACTCGCAAGTGTCTTAATCATTAATTACAGCATCCCTGGCCGCGCTAATCAGCCTTTATGGCGGTTCTGCGAGGAAATTAGGGATTCACACTCTCGCAGGTCCTCTCACTAACAGGGTGCTGCCTAAAATAATTTGAGAACAAGTCACAGCCGGGCTTTCAGCTCTAACAAGTCCTACGCAGATAATGGCCCCAAATATTCTTCACACTCATCTCTCCCCCCCTCCCCCGCCGCGCCTGACTTCCCAACCCGGAGTGCGATGACAGGGCGGTCCGCCCACTCTCTCTTCATCCCTCCATCCTTCTCTCCCGCATTAATCACGAGAGGAATTGAAGTAGTTTGTCTTCTCGCTCGTAATTTGGACGTCAAGACTTGGATTGCGGATTAGAGGAGGTAGTAATCTTTCCGAAGACTGGGAACTCATTAGAGGAACATGATAAGCGGTGTTAATGGAAGCCACTTCCCACCCCACCTCCTCGCTCCATCTCTCAAGTGGCAATCTGAACGCGCTTTTTCGGACCGGTTGTCCGCAAAGACCGAAAACTCAAGAGCTGCCTCGTAGGCAGATGATAGATGGAACGGAGAGAGTTCTGAAGACGATGGAAGTTTTGTGCTCGACAAACAAGAAACTTTAAATGTTACATAGCTTATCTAAACTATGTGAAAATAAGTGTGAATTACACGATTGATAAGGTCTCGGGTGTGGTGGTCAGTCGTTGGCCTGAAGGGTTTGGTCTTAAGAAGTTGTCCAGGGGTCTCTGGTGTGATTCGGGGGTCCATCAGAAAAGACAGGAGGGAAGCGGGAGAGCCCTTGTAGTAAATTGCTTCAAAAAGCATATCTTGTGTATCACCCAGCCTAGAATAGGTTGCTAGAGAGGTTCAGGCAGGGGCGGACTGACCATTCAAGCACTCGGGCACTGCCCGAGGGCCCGGGGTCAGTAAGGTGCCCCCTGAAATGCCCCTGGTACCTTTTATAGGCTTTTTTGGGTGTGCTTTGAGTGTGTGTAAAGACGCAGGGGCCCCATGAAATGCCCCTGGTACCTTTTATAGGCTTTTTTGGGTGTGCTTTGAGTGTGGGCAAGGACGCAGGGGCCCCATGATCTAATATTGTCCGGGGGCCCCATGAGTTGTCAGTCCTCCCCTGGGTTCAGGTAAAATTTCTTTGGCTCCTGTGTAATCATTGGAGCGGTGTGTGATTGTTCGTGGCTGTTCTGAGTGTCATTAGATGAAGACTCAAATGCTTCCCACTGCCTTTTAGTGGATTCTAGAATGCAGTGGGTTGGAAGAAGCAGACCCTGGGCCTGAATATTCATGTGGTGTCACCCAATGCCTGGGGAAGAAGATGAGCAATGCATAAATAATCTGGGGCCTGGAGCAGCAGGATTCTTGTCGAGGAGGAGAAGACTCCAGCCTGAAGGGCTGCTGCCTTTCTGGGCTGGGTAGCTGAAGTCTACAGGAGTTCATCAAGGTCCCAGCTCAGTGGGAGTTGGGGGGGCCTACTTTGTGAAAGGAGCTGGAGCCAATGAAAGGGGATTCACTGAGGATCTGGCGTGAAGTGTCTGGCCGATACTGGATGCAGATATCCAAGTATACAGGGACATTGTGAGTATTTGTCTTTGTGTGGGATCCTCCTGACCAGGGGCGGACTGACCATTTGGAAACTCGGGTACTGCCCAAGGGCCTGGGGTCGGTAGGGGGTCCCATGAGATGCCCCTGGTACCATTTTCATAGGCTTTTTTGAGTTTGGGCAAGGACACAGGGGCCCCATGATCCCCTATTGCCAGGGGGCCCCATGAGTTTTTAGTCCGCCCCTGCTCCTGACTATTCTCTACTGTAACTCTTTGAGCATTTGCTCCAGTGCTGCTGAATTGGGACTGTACCATTGCTCAGAGTCACAAGGTTGCTTGTTTTCCTATGTTCTGCTAAGAGGGGAATTGTTCTGAAGGGTGTAGACAAGGCAATGAGTTTCCTCTGCTTTCTCCGTGCCCTGAATTTGGAGTATCCCAATGCCCCCTCCAGTGTGGGGCCTGTCAGGGGTGTGTGTTACTATTGCTTCAAAAAAGGTAGAAAACTAGGAAAGTAATTCATCAGTGGGAAGAAAAGATTTGAAAAAATGACTTATAATGGTTGAGGGTGCAGTCACCCAAAGCTGTGGAAAACATGCAACCTACTAGGGTGGAGAAAACCTGTCTCCATGCAGGATAAGGGTTCAGGAGATCATTCTTTATGCCTTGGGGGTTCCTGTCCTGGGTTATGGGATTCTCAGGCAGGCCTTACGGAATCCGTAAGTTCTAGAGGAGTCTGGGAAAAAGCCCATTGATGGTCCAATCGGCAGGGGTGCTCAGCTTTATATGTCTAAGAATGGTTTCATTATTTCACCAAATAAAATGTGTTTCATGGCTTTATAAGGCTTTTTGGACTCCAGTGCCGAAAACACTATGGGTGTCATAGTCAATCAAAAAGAACTTGGTAATTTTGGCTACAGTGGATTTGAGCAATTGTTGGTTTTTACTTTTTTTTTTTTTTTTACAATTTTAGCTGTTTGTATCCCTCCTCACCTTCTGTTCTGGTGACATTCCGTAAAAGAGTGATCCACCGACTGTCTTAGGGACAGGAAGTGAGAGGAAATCACCCCCAAGTAGGATGCAACTGAAATACCTGACAAAGGGTCTGATTAAGTTACTAGCAAATCTCAACCTTCCCGTAAAAAGAAAAATCAAGCTTGGTCCCACCTCTGCCCTCCTTCTGAGCCTCCCTGGTCACTGAAGCCATCCTTTACATTAAACAACAACAATAGCTAATGTGGTGGGAAGGGTTGTGGCTAAGGCCAAATGTCAATATATCTTAAAGGGTAAGGGAAGTTTCACACAAAGTGAGATACCCTTTTACCCCATCCCATAAGTAGATGTAGCCCACCTTTTCCCAAATTGCTATTCCTAAATAGATCTTGCTCTGAGGGACCAGGAATGTTTTATATCCCCCAGCCAACATCTTTACCCAATATCCTCATATGCTCAGTTTGGTCCCATAGACCCACAGGGGCTTTTAGATGGATCTGTCTTCAAGTCTATGGGGCAGTACTACGCATGTGTCATTGGGACAGGAAGTGAAAGGAAACAATGTTTACGTAGGACACAACAAGAAATACATGGCAGGGGATTTTGTGAAGTTTTATGCACATCTCAACCTCCCCCATAAAAGTCAAGCTTGGCCCCACTTTCACTTCCCTTCCAAACCTCCCTAGTGGTCATTGAGATGGTCCGTTAACTTAAAGGACCGACAGGGAAATTGATGTGGTGAAAAGGGAGTGTACTTACCCTTTTGCCCCCACTCCCTAAGCAGGTGTAGCCCACCCTCCCCCAAATTGCTATTCTTAGATCTTCCTCTGAGGCTCCAACATTGTTTACATTCTTCAATTAGCTTCTTGACCCAATGCCCACATGTGCGCAGTTTGGCCACATAGACCCATAAAGACGTGTAGACAGCTCAGCGCCTATCCAACCACGAGCCCCATAGCCGTCTATGAGGCCAAACTGCGCATGTATCATGGGGACTAAGTGAGAGCAAATGACCTCTAGGCAGGGGAAGACTGACAACTCATGGGGCCCCCGGGCAATAGGGGTCATGGGGCCCCTGTGTGCTCGCCCACACTCAAACCACACCCAAAAAAGCCTATGAAAGGTACCAGGAGCATCTCATGGGGCCCCTTACTGACCCTGGGCCCTCGGGCAGTGCCCGAGTTTCCGAATGGTCAGTCCGCCCCTGCCTCAAGGTAGGACACAACAACAAAAACCTGCCAGAGGAAGGCAAGTGCAAATTTCAACCTTTCTTGTAAAAGTCAAGCTCAGCCCCACCTCTAGTTGCCTTCTTCACTATTGGCCTTTGAAATTGTCCATTAAATGAAAGGACCCACAAGGGAACTGATGTGGTGGTAAGAGTGGGGCGAAAGTCCATATTTTAGTATATCTTCATGTGTAAAGATTCTTTGCCCTTCTGCCTCCACCCCCTAAGCAGGTGTAGCCCCCCCCCCCAACTCCAAATTTGAACTTAGATCTTCCTCCGAGGGCCCGGGCATTGTTTTACAATCCTCAGACAGCTTCTTGACCCAATGCTCACATTAGCTCAGTTTGGCCTCATAGACCCCAAGGGGCTTGTAGATGGATTGGCTCCTATCCATCTTCCAGCCCCAAAGAAGCCTATGAGGCTGAACTGCACATGCATGGGCATCGGATCAAGAAGCTGGCTTTAGAGGAGGGGTGGGCTAGCCCTACTTAGGAAGGTAGGGGCAAAGTGTAGGAGAACTCTATCATAAAGAATATCTAAAGCCAAGCCACCCTTGTTGTAGAGTGTTCTTTCTGTTGGAGGCATAATACGATAGAAGTGACCCCTTGCCCTTGGACCTTCATGGAATCAGCCAGTGGTGGTTTCTGGTGCCAGAGGGCTTTGCTGGGTAACAGTTGTCTGATTGGACCTCTTTAAAAAAATGTCACATGTGAAGCAGGGCCATAGTGTTACGAAACAAACTGAATGTAAACTTCAGTTTACCTTTTTTCCTTCATACTGTTGGCACTTAGGGGTTGATTTACTAAAACCAGAGGGTGCAAAATCTGGTGCAGCTCTGCATAGAAACCAATTAGCTTTCAAGTTTTTTGCCAAAGTTTAATTGAACCAGCTGAAGTTAGAAGCTGATTGGCCGCCATGCGCAGCTGCACCTGATTTTGCACTCTCCAGTTTTAGTTAATCAATCCCATAGTGGCTTTATGGAGTCTAATGCCGGCCATACATGGGACGAAATTCAACTGAGTTTTCGTCTGAAAATCGCACCTAAGAATAATCGGCCGATTTTCGCTCTGTTAGTGGGTCAATGGCACTGGCTGATTTTCGTGGTTCCTCCCCTTTTCGGTGATCGGGCATGTTGGAAAATTCATGAAAACTTACAGATTTTCGACTCAATGATGGTCAAATTATGCTATCGTTTTTCCGAAAAGAATATGCACATGAGCCATGACCTGGAAGGAACAGAAGTTTTGCCTGTTATATGGGGGTGAACTTTACGATTCGGTTGGCCGATTTTCAAAATCATTGATGGCACCATCGGATTACCAAGTGAACAACGTTTTCGAATTTCGGATGGAAAATCAATTGGGATTGGACCCATGTAGGTCCTGCATAAGGGCTCTATTTATGGAGCCAAGTCAGTAATGAGTCAGTAGGAATTGAAGGCATTCACCCTGCTTTCACTATCACATTCACCCAATTTACAAAAGGATAAATGTCCACCGGGGAGATGCAGCAGCTGATGAACCATCGTTGATTCTCATTTGTACAATATCTGTGAGAAATAGTATGCTGTGTATACCCTGCAGGTGAGGCTTCCGGCGGTTGCTATCCTTGGTGCTGAAACTGCATTTCTACACAGTTTGTGAGGGTTAGCTGGCATTTTTTTAAAATTTATATAACAAAAAAAAAAAAGAATCAAACATCCAACACATCCAGTGATGTGGGTTGGTGTCCCCATAGCAAAAAAGCTGTGAATGTGCAGGGGTCCAAGCTACAGTATGTTAATATTTATTTATTTATTTATTTATCGAGTTTATATAGCGCCAAAGGGTTTGCTCAGCGCTGTACAATAGAGGGGGGGACAATACATGAAACAGAACAGTAGCATCAAACAGTACACAAGGGGTAAGAGGGCCCTACTCTTTCGAGCTTACAATCTAGGAGGGAGGGGGGGGTAGAGGCACAGGAGGAAACGGCTGTGGAGGATGGAGTGGTAGGAGGAGGGAAGGGCAGCGGCTGTTAGGTGAGGGTGGGGTAGGCTTCCCTGAAGAGGTGGGTTTTCAGGGAGCGCCTGAAGGTGAGGAGGGAAGGTGACAGTCTGATGGATTGGGGTAGTGAGTTCCAGAGGATGGGGGAGGACCTGGAGAAGTCTTGCAGTCGTGCGTGGGAGGAGGAGACCAGGGAGCAAGATAGAAGGAGGTCCTGTGAAGAGCGAAGGGTACGGGTAGGGTGGTACCTGGGAATCAGGTCGGTGAGGTAGTTAGGGGCAGTGTTGTGAATGGCCTTATAGGTCAGGGTGAGCAGTTTGAATTTAATGCGTTGGGCAATGAGGAGCCAGTGGAGGGAGAGGCAGAGGGGGGTGGCAGAGGTGGAGCGGCTGGTGAGGTGGATGAGTCTGGCCGCTGAGTTCAGGATGGTCTGAAGCAGGGAGAGCCTGCACTGGGGTAGGCCGGTGAGGAGGGAGTTGCAGTAGTCCAGGCGTGAGATAATCAGGGAGTGTACTAGTAGTTTAGTGGTGTCTGGGGTAAGGAAGGAGCGTATCTTGGAGATGTTCCAGAGGTGGAGTCTGCATGTGTTTGTGAGAGATTTGATATGAGGTTGAAAGGAAAGGTTTGAGTCCAGAATGACGCCAAGGACCTTGGCTTGCTGGGCGGGATTGATGGTGGTGTTGTTGGTAGTGATGGAAAGGATGGGGGGGGTGCGGGCTGGGGGGAAGATGAGAAGCTCGGTTTTGGAGAGGTTGAGTTTGAGGAAATGGAGCGACATCCAGTCAGATGTCGTTTAGGAGGTGAGTGATGCGGGCGGAGAATGTGGGGGTGAGGTGAGGGGTGGATAGGTAGATTTGAGTATCATCAGCATAGAGGTGGTAATTGAAGCCGTGGGAGTGTATGAGTTTGCCAAGGGAGGAGGTGTAGATGGAGAAGAGAAGGGGTCCAAGGACAGAGCCCTGGGGGACCCCAACAGAGAGGGGGAGTGAGGAGGAGGTGGCACCGTTGTAGGAAACGCTGAAGGAGCGTTGGGATAGATAGGACGAGAACCAGGAGAGAGCGGTGTCTCTGATGCCAATATCATGCTAACAGCATTCAATGAGGAAAGGAGGGGGGTTGTAAACCATATGGAAGAAAAATATATTCAAAATATATTCTTCCCAAATATATTGACATACATTTGAAATGCTACAATTTTGGCCATATTCAATATATTTTAAAATATATTTAAAAAAATTAAATAAATAGTAATAATATTATATATATATATATATATATATATATATATATATACTGTATATATATATATATATATATATACACACACACATACATACATACATACACACATACATACATACATACATACACACTGCATGTTGAAATGCATTTTTTATGTATTGCAAAATATATGAAAAATATTTGTAAAAATATATAGATTTTTAAAATATATTCTTCAGATTTTTTTTTTCAACATATAAAATAGTCATTTTAACATATATTTTTACATATATTTGTAAATGCATTCCAAAAATGTAGAATTGTATTTTTAAAGACATACAGTATATTTGAAAATGTATTTTTAAAAATATTTTTCATATGTTTTTTTTAATAAAAATGCATTTCTACATACAGTGTGTGTGTGTATATATATATATATATATATATATATATATATACATATATATATATATATATATATATATATTGAATATGGCCAAGATTGTACTATTTCAAATATATTTTTCTTGCATGTGGGGAGGAATGTGGAAAGTAAGGAAAAAAAGGTAACTTAAAAAAAGTACACAGTAATGGCTGTCTGTGTTTTCCTTTTTGTGGTGAATTTCATTCATTCATTTATTTATAATATATAAAGAATGAAATGAAAAAATAAAACACAAATACATTCATGTATTAAAGTCACAAAAAATACACCAAAATAATCCACTTAATTATCAGTTTAGGAGACATTAATAATCACCTTCAGCCACCTTACTTTACCTTCCCATTGACTCCAGTGCATGATATCACCAAAATGGTAAAAAAAAATAAATTGGCGAAGTGTTGTAGGTTTTTAGCTTTGACTGGAGTTTACCTTTAATCTTACATTATTAACCACTTGCAGACACTGGGTGTGCTACACATGCCCAATAAAACCTCTTAGAAGTACACAAGGCATATGTAGTATGCCCTATCCTTCTGCCTGCCTGTGGAAACCACAGGGCCCCATACGGCCAACCTGACAGGCTGCCCCCCAGAAACACAGTTTACTATGCTTCAGTTCTGAATGAACACAGTGGGTGATCAATACCGAGCACTCACTGTGTTCATTCAAGAAAGGAAAGGGCTGGTAAATGTGACATATTTATTGGACCCTTCCCCCACTCTCCATGCTGAAGGATCCTATCATTAGCTTGCAGTTGCCGATGGAAAGGAGAGGAGGGAAGCCAGCAGCACGATGGGGGCACATGGGGGAAGAGCTGGGCAGCAGGAGCAAACATATGGTGCGCAGGAAGTGGTGGGTGTGGCAGGGGGGCAATTACTAGAACGGATCCCCTGTACGACTCTTGTGACAGACCCAACTGAGAAGGGGGCTATTGGAGGAGACTGCAGGCTAGCCTCTTGCCTACTGACCATGGCCGTGGCATCTGAGGGGGCTCTATTCTTCCGTGTGTGCCTGGGGGGAGGGGGACCTTTAGAGTAGTTTACTTCGGATTCAAGTCCATGTCTCCCCAAAACACACAGACGGACCAGGATACAGATTTGGGGTCTCTGCGCCCAAACTAACATTGCAAAAGGAACGACAAGCAGGGCGCCGGGTCAGTGTAGAGAAAAGCAGTAGTGTTCCTTTTATTTCCTCTACTCCCTCTTAATTCATTTTGCTCACATTCTGGTATATCTTAATTCATATAATAATTATTTCCATCTTCTGTGTGAGCGCTGAAGGGTTCTTTATAATTCCTGATGATCATCTCTTACCCAAACTAACATTGACTGCCTCAACCCCCCCCCCCCCTCCTAGATTCAGAGACTCTAAGAAGATGTCCATATAATCAGCAAAACAACCTGAGGACTCTTGCTCTAATCTGTTTATTAAGGTGTTGTGTGTTAACTATCTTCTCCCACTGTGTGCCTCCTGGGTGCGCATTCCCATTGTTCATTGAGGTCATTGAGTCACCTATTGTTTGTTGGCAAGTCCTTCTGGAGGTGCCTACATGGTAGGATTAGACTGATATCAGCTTCACCTCCTTGGCTAATCAGTGTGGAATGTTTATCTCTGTAACGGAACCGGACCCCGACTGCGCTTGGGTATTTCCGTTAGACTTCCGCTTCCCCGTCCGAACACCGACCACAGACACCGCTCTTGAAGTAAAACCAGGAAATAGACTACTTTATTTTAACACAGATACAAGATATATACATTCAAGGGAACAACCCCCCCTCCCTGCATAATGACACAGGGCGGGGCAATCTACCTTTAGTAACAAGAGACACTCTAGCAGACTGTCCCATCAGGAGGGAGGGCTGCCAGAAAACACCCCCCACCAAGCCAATACACAAACACATACATCCCATAATAGTTTGCTCCCAAGCAAGACACACAACAGAATAATGGAATGCAATCACATGGCATTAAACAATCCACAAACCCCACCTATCTCCTAAGTGAGCTGCATTCCATGGGCCCCCCACCCAAAGTGACTCCCGTCACAATCTCAGTGTGTAATATTTGTTTTATTGTTCATAAGGGGACAGTCCTTTTTTTCTGGAGGGCATAAAAACCTGTGTTTTCTGTTCAATAAAGAGTTCCTGTTTGGTATCTAAGCTAGTCTCCCATATGGAAGAAAAATATATTTGAAATATATTTTTAAAATATTCTTCCCAAATATATTGACATATATTTGAAATACTACAATTTCACCCATATTCAATATATTTCAAGATATCGTTATATATATATATATATTGCATTTGAAATGTGATTTTTATATATTATAAAATATATGAAAAAATATTTTTAATAATATAAAAATAAATATTTTTAAATATTTTTTTTAACATATAAAAAAAAAAGTAATTTTAACATATATGTTTACATATATTTGTAAAATACATTCCAAAAATGTAGATTTGTATTTTTAAAGACATACAGTATATTTGAAAGTTTATTTTTAAAAATATTTTTCATATATTTTGTAATAAAACCACATTTCAATATATATATATATATATATATATATATATATATATATATATATATATATATATTGAAATATATTTTGAAACCAGGGGTGGACTGACCATTTGGAAACTCGGGCACTGCTCGAGGGCCCGGGGTCAGTAGGGGGCCCCCTGAGATGCCCCTGGTACCTTTTTCATAGGCTTTTTTGAGTTTGGGCAAAGACACATGGGCCCCATGATCCCCTAATGCCCGGGGGCCCCATAAGTTGTCAGTCCACCCCTGTTTGAAACATATTAAATACGGCCAAAATTGTAGAATTTCTTGTCCTCCTCCCCCGACATGAGTGCCTGACGTGACAAATGTGCTTCTGGAAGAATGGTCCAACCTTCCCATAGACACCCTCCTAAACCTTGTGGACGGCCTTCCCAGAAGAGTTGAAGCTGTTATAGCTGCAAAGGGCGGGGCCAACTCAATATTGAACCCTACGGACTAAGACTGGGAGGGGCCATTAAAGGTCATGTGTGTGGAAAGGGCGGGGCCAACTCAATATTGAACCCTACGGACTAAGACTGAGATGCCAATAAAGTTCATGTGTGTGTAAAGGCAATATACAAAGGCCCAATACTTTTGGCAATATAGTGTAGCTGCCAAGAATACAAAACATCAAATAGTATGAAATAGTACATCAAATAGTAAGCAAAATCTATAGCCTGTAGGGATAAGTAGTTAACAATAAGCCACAACGCACCAGACAGATCATTAATGTGTAGTAAGGTATACCAGGGATCCCTGGAAAAAAACTGGTTGAACAAGGAATGCATGAGTTTCAGGACCCTGGACCAAAACCATGTGAGCATGGGACATGTCCACCAGGTATGGAAGACATTGGTAGGATTTGGGCAGCAATGAAAGCACCAGCCAGTATGAGATGGCTGAAGATGGGCTACGCGTGATAGAACCATGTACTACCTGGTAACGGTTTTGAACACAGACCCCGTAGTATTTAGATTAATTGGGCAGGAGACTATCGTGGTCCAAATTTGCAGCCAGTCCTTTCTATCCCTGATGTATGAGAGGTCCTTCTCCCACTTGGAAATGTAAGCATGGTCAGTATGGTGGGTGGAATTGTTCAATAGAGAATAGATATCAGCTTGGGAGAGATAGATGTACAGTCACAAATGTGCTCAAATAATGACAGCTGCCTCGTAAGGACTTTTCTTCAATAGGGTGGAAAGCCAGTGCTTTATTTGTAGGAAGAAAAATAATTCGGAGAGATGGGGCTCTAGTAGCAATAATTTTTTCAACTAACACCAATCAAAGTAGAAACAAATGTTTTGCTTTGTGGTTTTTTTTATGTTTTTTGTCTATGGATTGCATAAAAAGTGAAATCGTTTTTCTAAGGTTATATCACCAATTAAGCTCGGGCTCTTTCACTGTCAGAGCGATAAGGATGTGGAACTCACTTCCACAATCGGTGGTGTCCGCGGGAAGTATTGAGAGTTTAACCACTTCAAGTCCGGACACTTTCCCCCCCTTCCAGTCCGGACACTTTCACCCCCTTCCAGTCCAGACACTTTCCCCCCCTTCCAGTTCGGACACTTTCCCCCCTTCCAGTCCGGACACTTTCACCCCCTTCCAGTCCGGACACTTTCACCCCTTCCAGTCCGGACACTTTCACCCCCTTCCAGTCCAGACACTTTCACCCCCTTCCAGTCCGGACACTTTCACCCCCTTCCAGTCCGGACACTTTCACCCCCTTCCAGTCCGGACACTTTCACCCCCTTCCAGTCCGGACACTTTCCCCCCTTCCAGTCCGGACACATTCACCCCCTTCCTGTCGGGACACTTTCCCCCCTTCCAGTCCGGACACTTTCCCCCCCTTCCAGTCCGGACACTTTCCCCCCCTTCCAGTCCAGACACGTTCACCCCCTTCCAGGCTAGGCCAATTTTCAGCTTTCAGTGTTATCACACTTTGAATGACAATTGCGCGGTCATGCAACACTGTACCTATATGAATTTTTAGCATTTTTTTGAGACAGATAAAACTTTATTTTGGTGGTATTTGTTCACCACTGGGATTTTTTTTTTTTTTGCTAAATAAATGAAAAAGTCCAAAAATTTTGAAAAAAGTGTTTTTCTTATAAAATTTTGCAAATAAATAATCTTTCTTCGTAAATCTTGGCCAAAATTTATTCCATTATCTTTTTAGTAAAAAAAAAAAAACAAATTAGTTTATAACCAATAATTATAATTTTTCAAATTTGTTTTTTACATTTTTATTTTATTTTTTTGTATTATTATTTATGTTTTTTTTTTTTACATACTGTCACCCTAGCAGTACAGTGTCACCATAGTGACACTGTACTACTTGTGGGGGGTGAAATTTTCTTTTTTTTTACACTTAATGCTTTTACACCCATAAAGGCTGTAAAAGCAATCATTTCTCTTTCTCTCTGGCTGCTTTCTTGCAGCCATTGAGGAATACTGTGTGAGCTGTGATTGGTCACATGGTACAAGACTGTTGTGAATAGCCCTGTACCATGTGACCTCTGTGATCATTCACAAATTTCACAAGTAGTAAGAAATGATGTCAGAAGTGACATCTTGCTTACTACTCACGTGATCACTGATTGGCCAATCAGTAATCTCATGATCGGGACCTCACACAGAGGTCCCATACAACGACCGGTGTTCCACTGTGTCCGGAGGACACAGCAGGCATCGGATCGCGGTGCTGGGAGCGGGGAGGCCATTTATAAACGGCCACCCGCCCCTGCATTGCTCCTGTCTGGCGTTTATATACATGAAGTGGTTAAAAAAAAAATGATTCTTAGATGGGCATCTTAGCGAACACAATATACAGGGATATGGGCTATGATTTTTGACATGAGTTCACACCCACATAGGTTGAACTGGATGGACTGTTGTTTTTATTCACCTTTTCCAACTATGTAACTATGTAAGCTTTGTTTGTGCTGAATAGAAACAATTCCCATGTTACTTTGTTACCTTCAGTAATGACAAAGTTATTGTCCAATCGATAGGCCCATAGCAGAAATGTAAAAACCGCTCTGGTCCATAAAGGGTGTAGAGGAGTGGGAGCTGAGGGGGTTAAACTGATTTTTCTTTTTTTACATGTATACTTTTGAATATGTTTAGCCCCTCCTCCGCTCTAAGCTGGTTATTATAAAGTCCTGGTAATGATAATTATAACCCGGTAGCAGCTCTATTGTCGGTGAACTCCGGGGATGAGATAATCTGATTAATGTAAAAGAACAGCAATTTATGGAATGTGCAGAATGTCAATTGCTAACCAGCTTCATCATTTTTCCCCCCTAGAGGACCTGTCTTGAAGCAAATTGGTAGGAAATGTCTATGAGTTCTGAGAGCTGTAGCTGCCATGGCATCTCATACGGGTTTCATAGCCGCGTGACCTCCAGTGCTGCCTGGAACCTTATCCAAGTGTCTTCTTCTCCAGGGAGTGGAGAAGAAGTACATGTTCACCCTCCCCCAACGTCTCTCGATGCAATGTTGCGGGCCTGAACAATCTATCATCAGAATCAGGTGATTCCTCATGGGTGGGGACAGGTGTCTATGCATATGTATATGCAAATAGTGACTTTGAGAAAGTCCTTGTTAAACAGCCATGTTTGAGGATGAGGCCATTGGAGGGGCACATTGATCTCAAAGCAAGACAAAAGTCGACAGGCTATAGCATGTGAACTTCACACAGTAGAACTATGAGCGCGTTCACGTATGATGATTGAGGCCTTGGATGTAAAGTTCTCTGGCTATGACAGTGCTGTGGATGGAAAATATATACACAGGAACAAGACTTAGGTCTCCAGATGGACACCAAGGACTGGTCTAACATTTGATCTCCTATCAAGTTGGCTTTGCATCGCTTCTCGGCCTTTTGGCTAAGATCAAGTGTAGTATCTGTTCTTATCAGTGTCCAGTGGGGGTGCTCCCGACCATTCTAGCTTTGCGGGGATGGTTGTTGTATAGTACCCTCACTGGTATGATGGGGGTCCGGAAGGCTAGTACCGGAGGGACAGAAACCAGGGAGCGCCATGATTCGTTCTGGGGCCTTGGGAGTAATTCCTCTGGGAAGACTGGAAAGACCCAGTACCTCCTGATTTGGACGGATCTACCTTGGTCTGGCCTGGGGCTGGGGACGCAAAAAGTCCGCAAACTCAGTGCCCCCTGGGGACGACGCTCCCAGGGGTGTCACTAGTAACACTTGGGTGTGGGACCCCACGGTGTGAAGATGACACATGGCCACTGTTTTTCACTACTTTTTGCACAGCGCCCTAAGGACCAGGTCTTTTGGCTAAGTCCGGGGCAATTTTTGCTACAGGCCTCAGGGCCTGGTCTGTGCACTATTAGGCACGGTACCACTTTTTTATTTTTTATTTATTTACCACTCCCACGTTTTGTCACTTTTTCTGTTCTTATGTGTGTGTTTTTCACGGATGGAGGGTGTGGGTCCTCGGGCCTTACCTGAAGTCTAGGGGGAGGATGTGTGGCCATACGGTTCCTTCCTCCCCTGATCCCTAGGGGGTTTTCTCTTCGGGAGAACCCCCTCGCCTAGTACTGGATGTCCGGCTTCGGCTGGGCATAAGGAATGGTGGTCCACCAGGCCTTTTGGCCAGGAGGACCAAATGGGAACCTTGTCCCTGTCAGGAGCTTCGTGCCCCGGGGGATCAGGCGAACGGTCCAACCCTCTCGGTGGTAGGACAAACACACCCCTAAGTGCACTTTTTTGTGTGGTGTTCGCACTTGCACTTTTTTTGTGATCACTTACGGGTTTTTCGTTGTAGTTTGCACGTTTGCGGACTTAAAAAAAAATCAAGTTGGCTTTGCATAATATAGTGGCCTTAGAAACAAATTAGAATGTAATTATCAGGTGGTACCTGGCCCCTGCTTGGATGGCTAAATTTCAACTGCCCTACCCTCCCCTCTGGTTTCCATGGCTGTCCAGATGTTGGCACCCACCATCATATTTGGTGTTCTTGTCCATTGTGTTTCAATCCTTTTTGGGCAAGAATTTTTCGTATCCTCTCTACCCTGTTTAGCTGTCCTTTGGACATAGAACCGGCCATGGCTCTACTTAACTAAAAACCTTTAGATGTGACTGGACAACAATCCAGACTCCTCCAGCAGGTCACTACCGCAGTAAAGCAAACCATTGCAAAGGCATAGAAAATGCCACATCTCAGTATTACAGGAACCAAATATAGAATTACCAGGGCCATGATACCTGCTGAGGTCAAAGAAGTCCTGCTAGACAGGGTTAAGAAGTATGAACATTTATGAAGACCATGGGTAGACCATTACCTCCCAGCTGACTGACAAAATGTAATTATCGCCTTAACTACTTTTAGTGCATGTCTAAGGCCCTGCTGGGCCTCCTTGATTCCACCCCTCCTGGGACCTTGCCTTCTCTTTCACTCCTCCATCTCTACCTTCTCTTTCGTCCTGCTTCCTATTTTCCTTTTGCTTTTTGTAGCATCTCCCTTCTACTCCCACTACCTACAGGCTCCCCTTATTAGTGGCTGTCTGTCTACTAGGATGCTACCAGCCACATTTGCCACCCTGCTATCTCAGGACCCAACATATGGAATGGTAGTATTTCTCCCTTCTCCCTCCTGCATTATTAAGTCCATGAAGGCTAGGTTCACATCTGTGCGGGTGGTGCCGCTGTGGAATCCGCACACAAATCCGTGCGGCCACAACACCCGCACAGAGAAATGCAGACCCGCGGGCGGGTGCCATTATTTCTAATGGCACGCCGCCCGTATTGAAAAATGCAACTGTACTGGGAACCGAGGTTCCCGTGTGGGTTCCGTTTTCGGAAGAAGTGCAGGGACTTCTTCCCAGCGTGTCACGGGCACGGGAGTCCATTCAAATGAATGGGCTCTTGTGCCCATGCAAAACGCGGCCCGCATGGCCGCATATATGTAAACCAGGGCTTAGTGTGCCTTTCTCATACACCAATTGAGGTATACAATGAAATACCAACAACAGGTTTGGCTGCGAGGAAGGTTTGCAATTGTATGGTCTTAAAGGACGCCAATGATAGCTCTTATTATTCTATACCATGTTGTCCTAAAATCGCCAAATGTTTGACTCCACTGCAGGGGCAAACTGACAACTCATGGGGCCCCTGGGCAATAGGGGATCATGGGGCCACTGTGTCCTTGCCCAAACTCAAAAAAGCCTATGAAAAAGGTACCAGGGGCATCTCATGGGGCCCCCTACTGACCCCGGCCCTCAGGCAGTGCCTGAGTTTCAAAATGGTCAGTCCCCCCTGCTCCACTGTTACCTACATGCACTCCCTGTTATTTTGATGCATTTTTGGGCATCCTTTCCCTCTCCCCTCTTTTTTGGAATAATCACCCTGTGTCTTTATTATTTACGTGTACAGTCTTTTCTTACTTTAAGAAAATATATTTGAACAAGGATAATATATACTCTGTGCAGATGCTCTTTGGTCAACCATTCTTGGGAGATGTCTCATCTGCTAGTATCATTTCCCCCGGTACAAATCATTAGTGAGACCTCATCTGGAATATGCAGTTCAGTTTTGGGCTCCAATTCACAAAAAAAACATTGGGGAACTGGAGAAAGTACAGAGAAGGGCAACCAAACTGATACGAGGCATGGAGGAGCTCAGCTATGAGGAAAGATTAGAGGAACTGAATGTATTCTCTACTGAGAAGAGGAGATAAAGGGGGGATATGATCTCCATGTATAATACATAAGGGGGGATATGATCTCCGTGTATAATACATAAGGGGGATATGATCTCCATGTATAATACATAAGGGGGATATGATCTCCATGTATAATACATAAGGGGGATATGATCTCCATGTATAATACATAAGGGGGGATATGATCTCCATGTATAATACATAAGGGGGATATGATCTCCATGTATAATACATAAGGGGGGATACGATCTCCATGTATAATACATAAGGGGGATATGATCTCCATGTATAATACATAAGGGGGATATGATCTCCATGTATAACACATAAGGGGGGATATGATCTCCATGTATAATACATAAGGGGGGGTATGATCTCCGTGTATAATACATAAGGGGGGATATGATCTCCATGTATAATACATAAGGGGGATATGATCTCCATGTATAATACATAAGGGGGGATATGATCACCATGTATAATACATAAGGGGGGGATATGATCACCATGTATAATACATAAGGGGGGATATGATCACCATGTATAATACATAAGGGGGGGATATGATCTCCATGTATAATACATAAGGGGGATGTGATCTCCATGTATAATACATCAGGGGGATGTGATCTCCATGTATAATACATAAGGGGGGATATGATCTCCATGTATAATACATAAGGGGGGATATGATCTCCATGTATAATACATAAGGGGGGATATGATCACCATGTATAATACATAAGGGGGGATATGATCTCCGTGTATAATACATAAGGGGGGATATGATCTCCATATATAATACATAAGGGGGGATATGATCTCCATGTATAATACATAAGGGGGGATATGATCTCCATGTATAATACATAAGGGGGGATATGATCTCCATGTATAATACATAAGGGGGGGATATGATCTCCATGTATAATACATAAGGGGGGATATGATCTCCATGTATAATACATAAGGGGGGATATGATCACCATGTATAATACATAAGGGGGGATATGATCTCCGTGTATAATACATAAGGGGGGATATGATCTCCATATATAATACATAAGGGGGGATATGATCTCCATGTATAATACATAAGGGGGATATGATCTCCATGTATAATACATAAGGGGGGATATGATCTCCATGTATAATACATAAGGGGGGATATGATCTCCATGTATAATACATAAGGGGGGGATATGATCTCCATGTATAATACATAAGGGGGGATATGATCTCCATGTATAATACATAAGGGGGGATATGATCTCCATGTATAATACATAAGGGGGGGATATGATCTCCATGTATAATACATAAGGGGGGGGGGATATGATCTCCATGTATAATACATAAGGGGGGGGGGATATGATCTCCATGTATAATACATAAGGGGGGGATATGATCTCCATGTATAATACATAAGGGGGGGATATGATCTCCATGTATAATACATAAGGGGGGGATATGATCTCCATGTATAATACATAAGGGGGGGATATAATCTCCATGTATAATACATAAGGGGGGATATGATCTCCATGTGTAATACATAAGGGGGGATATGATCTCCATGTATAATACATAAGGGGGGATATGATCTCCATGTATAATACATAAGGGGGGATATGATCTCCATGTATAATACATAAGGGGGATATGATCTCCATGTATAATACATAAGGGGGGGATATGATCTCCATGTATAATACATAAGGGGGGATATGATCTCCATGTATAATACATAAGGGGGGATATGATCTCCATGTATAATACATAAGGGGGATATGATCTCCATGTATAATACATAAGGGGGGATATGATCTCCATGTATAATACATAAGGGGGGATATGATCTCCATGTATAATACATAAGGGGGGATATGATCTCCATGTATAATACATAAGGGGGGATATGATCTCCATGTATAATACATAAGCGGGGGATATGATCTCCATGTATAATACATAAGGGGGGGGATATGATCTCCATGTATAATACATCAGTGGTTCATATAGTGAACTCGGTGTAGTTATTCCCCCTGAGGTCATCACAGAGGACAAGGGGGCGCTCTTTACATCTGGAGGAAAAGAAATGTAATCTCCAAACACGGAAAGGTTTCTTCACAGTGAGAGCTGTGAGAATGTGGAATAGACTCCCTCCAGAGTTGGTTGTGGCCAGCTCAGTGGATTGCTGTAGGAAAGTCCTGGATCCTTTCTTGGATACACAGAATATAACTGGATATAACATTTCTAGGGAAAGTTGATCCAGGGAATATCCGATTGCCTCTCGGGGGATCAGGAAGGAATTTTTTTCTGTGCAGGAGCAAATTGGATCGTGCTTTGCTGGTTTTTTTTGTATCAAGTGCGGGTATAGGATTATAACTTGAACTGGATGGACTTTGGTTTTTTTTCAGCCAGACTATGTAACTATGTATAGAGAAGCACAGAGACCCGGTGATGACATCACTTGGTCTACATTAAAGTAATAAAAAAATTAAAAAAAGTCATTAGCATGTTGATGATGGGGGGGGGGGGGGAGTTAAACTTCATCATGAAAAAGTAGAAGAAAGGCTCGCAGTTATAGACATTGCATCGAATTTTCGCTTTGAAGGCAAAGGAAGAGTTTTCTTCGCATTTACTAAGTCAGAGTTCCCATTTACAGTATATACCTCCCGATCAGAGCCGATCTTCAGACTCTTCATCACAAAGGACGTTTTTATTTGCCGTCTGCGGTTACACTAAACCATAAACATTAAGCGAAGTGCGGCGTTTTGTTGCTAGGACTTGGAATTAACTGCGATCCCTGGAAATGTCTTCTAAATAGAACTGTAATTGGTCTGTCTGAAAATGCAAATAACTTCATACAATTTTTATGCTGCTCTGAAAGTAATTACAGCTTCATAGTGTCCCGAACGCCCAGATTGTGAGCGAGAAATAAAACACGCCGAACCACCTCCTGATACTCCCCGAGCTGCGGAAGACTCAGCAAACGCCATCGCGGGGCGATGAGCTCTCCTCCCCGCTGCAGGCGCCCGTCCTCTGCTTCCGGCAGCCCCAGATCTACAACCAGGACAGAGGTCACACAACGGGGGCTTGTTGCACTTAGGGCCCATTCATGCCATAAGGCTCGGTTCACACCTATGCACTTTGCGTTTGATCCGTTTCTGCAGTGCGTTGTGTTTTTACACGCGTTTTTGATGCGTTTTGAATTTTTTTGTTGTTGTTGCTAGGCAGATTAAAATGCAAAATGCATCAAAAAACGTGTCAGAAATGCACTACATGCTTTTCTGCGCGCGGTCCCAGCACACATGTACTCACAAAGGTCCCGATCTCTTCTTTGGATCGGGACCTTTCCTGATCATGTGACCACCGTGACGGTGAATCACGGTGGTCACATGACCCTAAAACCCCGCCCCACCTCCCGGCTTCTGAAACCCTTAAAGGTCCTGGGAGGCGCCGGCACCAAGGGGTTAAAAAAAGTCCCTGTGGGCCTAGTTCACACTAGATGCAGTCCAGTGCATTTTTTTTTATGCATCAAAAATGCATGCACAGTGTTTTCCATGTATTCCAATGGCCCAGGTTCACACCAGTTCAGTCAGTTTCCGGTGCAGAAAAAAAAAAAATGCTGCTGAATTTTTTTCTGCACAGAACCATACTGGAGCATGGCAAACTGCATCAAATCTGCACCGAAACTGCGTGTGGTGTGAACGGTCAGCAAAAACGTATCTGGAATGCATCCGGAGTGCATTTATGTGGTGTGAACTGGCCCTGACCCTTTCCAAAAAACGCACCGGGTGAAAACGCGGAGATGTGAACGTGTCGGATAGGAAATCATGTTAAATGATTGTGGGCACAGTTTGAAGACTTTCCCATTGCATCCATATCCTCGGGGCCTGTTCTACCATCACTTCTTCTGCCCATATCATCCATTCCAGAGCTTGCATCTCATTCATTCCACCATCGAAGGGAAAACTGACTTGCACCTCTTTCGTGCTACGACAGTCCACATATGACGTAGTGTGTCTTTGTTGACGTAGCGTGTCTTTGTTAATAGATTTTATTGATCCTGGGAGTATGGATGACCCAGAAATACCAACATCTGGCTGTACTGTAGATTCTGAAATTTACTGATAAATGTGGAATAACTTTGACCAAAATGGGAAGACGGGCAGACAGCGATACCATATATGAGATGTTGTACCTCATTCGTTGAGGCATCTCGCCTTCCATCTTTTTGGTCTGAGCTCCTTACTGTGTTCTTATGGGTTGATTGACTTTCGGGAACCCCTTGAGGGAGGTCTTGTTGTAGGGGAGCCACCTCACCAGAACCGGTCACTTGGTGGAGCAAAGATGTCCCAGAGCCTCCTGAATGTCCTTCTAAAAGCTTGAGGTGCCCACACACAAGTAGAATTTTGTTTAAAATTTTTCATTTTCAGAACGTTTGTAGAATCTTCTAATGGTTGGTGGAGTCAAATTGGAGACTGTTTTCAACAGCAGAGATGAGAAAATTTGAAGGACCTGAAATTTTTTTCTCAAATTAATGCGAACAGGGCTTTTGTTCAGGAGAAATCTTATATATCGAAACCTGTTTCATACATTTGGAACTCCAGTCAAGTAGCAGGTCTGGATGAAATCTGGAGGGCTTTCAAACTAAGGTGTCCTTTTATGAAACAGAGATCAGCTGCGATCCTA